ATATATGATATATACTTGCAATGTGACATGGTTCTATATATCATTTTATAATAATATTTTAATTTATCATAATTTATATAAAAGAAACCTTTGTTGTTTGTCTGTTGAAAGAAAATGAAGGAGCAAGAAAAAAACATTACTGCAAAATGCTAAATTTCCGCGGGTGGATTTGGCGTGTCTTTTCCCGTCGATTCAGGTCAAAATTGCTATTGTTGTGAGATTTATTTAAAAAAAAAAAAAAAAAAAAACTAATAACACACTATTTTCATATTTTTGTTTATTTGCACAATTTTTAAACCAGATTACTGGTTAAAATCCAACAGTACACAATTTATGAGGTAAAAAAGATTTTATAAGGAAAACAAATAAAATAACCAGTGCTGTGAAATTCAGAAGAAAGATTTTGGATTGTTGTGTTTGTTTTTCTTTCTTAAGGAAAACCCTGCCTAAAATATTAATCTTGTAAAAAGTGTGCATTTGGTATTTTCTTTGTTTTAATATAGAATATTATAAAGTCAAAATATAATAAATTGTTTTCAGATTTGGAGTTTAAGATATAGCTGTAGAGGTGGTTTTGATTCTTTTAGATGTCTCATAAAATGAGACTTTTTATATGTTAATGTGTAATAAAACTGAAACAAGATTATTTTCCATTTGAAATTTTTGTATAGTTTAAAAATGCTTCTGTATTCTTTGTTGGTATTGTGCCACTGCAAAACTTTAGTGCAGAGTTTATATTTAGCTAAACTGTTATGTTAATTAAGAAATGCATAAATCTTTTATTCTTAATATTTGTAATTCTAAATAAATTGATCTATGAAAACTAAGTCTACATTTTCATTTAATTAATACAAATTGATAAGTATTCCTTCTATTTTAAAAGTTTTGAAGAACTGTAATTTCTACTAAGCTGCATTTTTAGGGGAAACAGTATAGATTAATAATCAGGTTCTTTTGTAGTACAATGCCATCCCATATTATTTTAGGGAGGGTTTTTTTTCCATCTGTGAGTAAATCACTGTGGAATCACTAAGCAAGCAAGAAAGTTATTTGACCTAGTATAGATCTAGTGAAAGTTGATTTTAATATATCCTGCCTAGAACTGGGTAGGCATTTTTTACATTTTTTCTTTTATATTGCTTCAGGCTTACTTAAACAATAACTTAACACTTAAATATTACCCCATTTTATACATATTTAAGCACTGTTTGCCTTTCAGTGCTACCATGTGTTGACAGTAGGGGATGCCTAAGAATATAGTGGAATTCTATTTCTGTTTAGGGAAGAAGAAACCTATAAAATTCAGAGTAGTCATTTTGAGCCAGCCATACATTGATTTCAGTGATGTACCACTGCTTAATACATGTATAAAGAAAGCTGTCAAAACCAGATTGCGCAGACATGCAAGCACATACATGGCTTTTATTTATATAGATTTGGTTCTGAATTACTTTAAGCTAGTTCCAAAAGTCACATTCACTTTTTACCATTGAGAAGCTACAAAAAGATTTTCCCATTAAATTTTTTCTCTTGAATCCATGCACCTTTCTCCATCTTCATTACCACCACTACTCAGAGCCCAACTGCCGCCATCACCAACCTGGAAAAGTGCAGTTGCCTCCTAACGTACCTCCCAGCGTCGCCTCAGCCCTCCTCAAATGCAGCCAGAATGGTATTCTTAAAATGCAGAATTGGTCACATTATCCCTCTGTCTATAAATGCCTTTAAAGTCCTCGTATGGCTTTGAGGACAAAGTCAGAACTCTTTTACAAGATCTCCGAAGCCATGCATGGTCTGGCCTCCCATACCGATTTCTTCATTCTGCTCCCTGCTCCACAGGGCCTTTGCACATGCAGTGCCTCCGTTTCCTCTCCTCTCCTTGATAACTCCCTGATCATCCTACAGATCTTACCTTCACATCAAACCTCAAGGAAGTTTTCCTCAACCACAACACATCTCCTATTATAGTGTCTCCAGATCACGTACCTCCTTCCAGCACTTGTCACATTTGCAAGTTTATACTCCTTAGAGATCTTTTGTCTTCATACTGGCCTCTTTGCTCCATGAGGGGAGGGACTGTTTCTGTTTTTGCTCACCATTTTATTTCCAGGTCCTGATAAAGTGCCTGTTCATAGGCACCAAATAAATATAATATTTGTATAATGAACAAACCAATGTGAGTTTCAAAAGAGCTCTAAGCAACATTAGTGTCACTGGAATAAGAGTGTGGTCTCCCGTGACGATTTCTTGGAAAGATGAGACAATATGCACTGGCATATAGAAATTCTGATTTGGGGCTTGCTTTTAAACCTAGCACATTATTTTATCATTAGCCCTGACTAAAAAGACCAGTCCAATAGAGGAGGCACTCTGTGGTGGTGGATAAATAGGTGCGCTGTGTTAGTCCTAGGTTTGAGGCCTGGCCATGCCATTTACAAGCTCTGTGATTATGAACCACTACTTAGATTAAGTTTCTTCATCTGTAAAATGGGAAGAATAGTCCCTATTTTATATGGTAGGTGTACGGATTAAATATATAATGCCTGTTACACATTTACCAGTTAAGGCCTTAAGAGGGTGAGAGAGGTGCACACTACTTCTTAGAGGATCCCACAATTTTTAAAAATTAAAAAATATAAAAACAGGATTTAAATAGTTGTAGGTTTTTATAATTGTTCACTGAGGAAAATAGAATATAAGACAACATAAATGCAAGAATATAATTAAAAAGCTAATTGTAAGATTTATTTTTAAGTGTGATTCTTAGTGGACCCTAAGTTTCAAGTGTTATGATATATGTCTTTCAGTCTTGTGAATGTATCTGTATCATCTCATTCAGCCATGTCACAAGTTGAAATGTGAACTCTGTGATCGTGAGACCTCCTGACCACCCCCAGGATAGGCTCTGAGCACAATGTTTGGCACATAGTAAGCACTTAAAATAATAATAGCTACTCTGGTTTCAGACAGTTTTCCAAGGGCTCATAAGTCCAGTTAGCTACTAAAAAAGCCTGAACCATGTTCTCTTAGTTACTTTTAATAGTGGATTTGCGACTCTGAAAAGTACAAACCACTTGAATAACATCTCTATGAAAATGGGCAACCAGCTTGTATAATCTCTAAGACATTCAGCATAGTTAAAGCTCTTCTAATAACCATCAAGATGTATCAGATGTCCTGGCCCTGGCCATGGCTTCTCATAAGCCTACTTTAAAGCACAGTTTACAGAGAAACCTTACCTATGGTTACCTCATATACAGACAGTGTCCTTTGGCCCTAAGGAGTTTGAAAACCCTCAACATATCAATACAATATTTAATCCTAGCCTAATGTAGAAACAGTCGTTTATATACATTAAGAATTATAAATTGGGGCTGGGTGCGGTGGCTCATGTCTGTAATCCTAGCATTTTGGCAGGCCAAGGCAGGAAGATCACTTGAGGCCAGGAGTTCAAGACCAGCCTGGGCAATAGTGAGACCCTTGTCTCTACAAAAAATGAAAAATTAATCGGGCATTTTGGCACATTCCTGTAGTCCTAGCTACTTGGGAGGCTGAGGCCAGAGGATTGCTCAAGCCCAAAAGTTTGAGGTTGCAGTGAGCTATGATGATGCCACTACACTCTAGCCTGGGTGGCAGATCCTATCTCCAAAAAAAAAAAAAAAAAAAAATTGGGAAAGAGAAATCTGAAACCAAATTTTTTTTTTTTTGGAGACAGGGTCTCATTCTGTTGCTTGGACTGGAGTGCAGTGGTATCATCGTAGCTCACTGCAGTCTCCAACTCCTGAGCTTAAGTCTCCCAAGTAGCTGGGACTACAGGCACATTTCTTTGTTTTTTCTTTTATAGACCGGGGGTCTCGCTATTGCCCAGGTTGGTCTTGAACTCCTGGGTTCAAGCGATCCTCCTGCCTGGGCCTCCCAAAGTGCTAGGACTACAGGCATGAGCCACCACGGTGCCTGGCCTCCAAAACCAAAATATTACTAAAATATTACTAAACTTTGAACAAGCAAAGATATGCATTTAACCAAATTAAATTTCTCAGCACAGTGGTCTGCTGATTGATATAATATTGATTACTGGCTATAAACTTCTTTTAGAAATGTTTTTCATGGCCACATAATATGTACTGAGCAATTGTGGAGTGAAGCACTGTACTAAGAGCTAAGGCACAGAATTCATTTAAATAGAAATTACATTGGTAACATTTGTGAGAAACATTTAATAATCTACTGAAGTTGCACAGGAAGTACATTAACAAGCGCTAAGGGTAATGTTGGAGTGATTGAAGTAACATACAAAACCAGGATTAAAGTTTCAGACATCAGAAAGTGGTGGGGAGTCTTGAGTGTTTTGACAGAGAAAGGTATTAGTTTGGTCCAAAACCAAAAGGAGTGACTTTGAAACAGAGAATATGTTGTGGATAGGTGACAGTAAGATTTGCATAGCTGTCCTGTAGGCCAAAAATGATGTCAGTTATCTGGGAGGATAACTGAAAGATTTTTATACTTTGGTAGAATTGGATGCTACTACAGATTTCTAGGGAGTAATTTTTAAAAAGTAGTTGAGAAACTAGAGGCAGAGGGGCTCTTGGAATAATCTGGATGCAGAGTCACCGATTGAATGCAAAGATGACAGGCCAAATAAAAAAGTAATACATTTTGGTGATGGGAAAAAGGTTGAAGAGATGAGTTAGAGTGAGTTTAAGGTTATGAGCCTTGGAGGGACTGTGAGAAGGTGGCAGCTGTCAAGCACAAGGGGAAACTGAGTCAAGCTGAGGGGTTCTTATGAACAAGATACTGCATTCTGAACAACCAGTCCAAAAAATAAGAACAGACCTGGCAAGAAGGCACAGGATGCAGACTAAGTGGAACGGGCAGACTCGGAGATACACAGGTAAAAATGAACCCAGAATTCCTGGCGGTGGGGGATGTTCACCAGCAAAATGCTCTGAGGGGAACCTTCAAAGGTGAAAGGTGACTGTCAAAACCATCATCGAGGTTAACAAGGACATGTCCTGAACATGGAAGTCAGAAAGGGCGGTATTCTGATGTATGTCTCCCGGGATGTCACTCATGGCTCCTCTAAGGTTATCTGAATTCTCCCAGAGTCCTCAAAAGTTACCAAAGGCAGAAAAGATGTGTTCCTCCCACAAGTCTAGCTTTGAAGCAATGTCTTCAGAGAGAGGGGAATAGGTTTCAAAATTCTGACCCTGAGAGCTAGAGTCAGAGATGCTGTTTGGATCAGTGAAGCAGTTCACCTCTACCTCAAGAGGCAGGTGGGGCTTCAAACACTTCATCTCAGTTCCAGGAGCAGAGTGGCTGAGGAAGATGTCTGGCCTCGCCGGGGGCTGTAAGGATTTCCCGCTCTGACGCCGTGACTTGGCTCGCCTATTCTGGAACCACACCTGCAAGCGGGGAGGAAAAAATGCTTTGGGTTGGAGTTCTTATGATACTGTTATGTACATAGTTCATAATAATAAATTCCAGCTTAACATCCCTGGGCTCCCTGCTCCGAAGACATGGTTTTGAGAAAGCACTTGGGTTGACGGTTAGAAGTTCAGAGCACCTAGCTTTCCCTGCCTCACCATTCCCAGATGCAAAATTGAAATAATGCCTGGTTCTATCTGTTCTTTATTTAGGGACAATTTCATGAAAAACAGGGTTACAAATTAGCAGCATTTAGAATTCTCAGGAGAAAATGCTACTCTGCTTAAAGATGATAGGCGTTAAAATTATTTAGAAAATCAGTTTTTGAAAGTCTGTACTCCCTTGTCAAACTAATCAAGGAGGTATTTTGCTCAGTGGACTAATGTGAATAAATCTTTCTGCTATTTCCCCACAAATACTGTGTGCTAATTAGGAAGCCTCTATGCCAACTGTTGAAACTGACAACTGTTGTGACCGCCAGAGATGCAGAAGAAACAAGTCTGCTCTTTCCCAGTGTTTAAATGAGGGCTCTTGGACACAGAGCAAGGTGCTACAGACAGGCAAAAAGACAGGCTTCTCACCACCAACTCCAAGATTCTGATCTAAATTACTTTAGACAATAAACACACCTTGTACTAGATTTTTCAAACTGTGACAACAAGCTCCAGATGCTTCAGGCTTTACCTCAAAATGCTGCATCCTTTCAAACCAAAATACCAGAACCAAAACTTGCCAAGAACGTGGCCTGGGAGTAACTTGGTAAGTCAGGCCTGCCCTCTCTCAGCTACCGTTCTCAAACTCAAAGCCAGAGGGAAACCTCACCCGCACCTCATCTGTGTCTTCTTCCTCGATGAGGAAAAGTGTATAAATACTTCCTATCACCTTCCCGCTGGGAATTACTTTCCGACCATTTCAAGGGACCAGCTAGCCTCCTAGGAGCCCTTATACTTAGCAATGAGACACAAGTCATTGAATACATGCCTGAATTGTTTCATTTAAGCCTAAGGACATTATCGTTCTTTTGCAGTCTAGAACACTGAGGCTCAAGGGAAGCAACTTGCCCAACGTCCCCCAAGTAAATGTGGCCTAAGGCGCCGGGCGAGTCCTGGCTTGGACTCCCCAGCGCCTCTCCTCCGGGGCACTGCGGACGCGGCGGGCTGCTCACCTGGATCCTGGACTCGGGGAGCAGGGTGAGCGCGGCCAGGCGCTCGCGCAGGTGGATGTCGGGGTACATGGTCCGGCGGAAGACGAGCTCCAGCAGCTGCAGCTGCTCGGGGCTGAACGACGTGCGCTTGCGGCGCTGCGACGCCGACTGGGCGGCCGCGCCTCTGGGGGGCGCCCGCGAGCCCAGGCCGGCGTGGGGCGGCGGGGCCCGCCCGGGGCCCCTGCCCAGGAAACCCGCGAAGGGGGCCGGGGCGCCGCGCTCGGGGCCGGGGCCGGGGGGCGCGGGGAGCAGGGCGGCCGCGGGGCTGGGGGCCGGCAGGAGCGCCCCGCCGGCGGGCGCGGGCCGGTAGGCTGGAAACGCGGCGCCCTCGGCGCCCTGGCGCTGGCGGGACCCTGCTGCGGCCATCGCTCCCCGACTCCGTGCGCCGCCGGGACGGGCGCGGCTGCAGTTATACCGGCCGGGCCCGCGGAGGGGCAGGCGCTGGCGGCGCCATCAAAGCGTGGACGCGGCGAGGCCCGTGCTCTTCGGGGTGCCAGCCCGCCCCCGGCCCCGCCAGACGCCGCGGGGATAATCGCTTCCGCTGACCGTGGGATGCAGGGAGCGAGGCGTGAACTTGGGCCCCGGCCCCCTCCGTCGCCTCCCCCGCCCATCCGCCGCCGGCCCCGCACCGCAATCAACATTTCCAGGTTTGCTGGGGAGGGGCGGCTCGGAGGGGCCCAGTGCGGACAGAACCTCCCTCCTCCGGGTCCGAGCGGCCAGGGCCTGGGCCGGCCGGGGTCTCACATGACCCGGGCATCCAGCCTTGTCCCCTGTCCCGCCAGTCCTCATCAAAGGTATTTATTTACCACCCCTGCTATGTGCTAGACCCTGTACCAGGTTGGTCAAACAGCCCAGCCCCTGTCCTCTGCGAGCCTCCCTAACACATCCTGAATCCCAAGGGGAACAAAGATAAAGGGACCTCAAGGCAGGCTGCACACTGCTCCTAAGAAGAGGGTGGGGAAGCTTCTGCCTGGGATATCCGCATGGGCCCACCCACAAGGCTATCCTAGGCAGGGCAGGGTTGACAATGTGCCCCCTTTAGCAGACACTTAATTTGGCCTCTCCAAAGGTTCCCAACAGTGCTCCAGACCTGTCTACTGGAAGGGACGAGCAATCATCGTTCTTTCCCCTGCCCCTGGGGCTCATGTAAGGCTCCCCGTGACTCTGCTTTGTGCTGAGGCTGTGGTTTACATATCTGCTCCCCCACTAGATTACAAAGTCTTAGAGAGCAGGAGCACACTTCTGTCATCCAGTCATCCACTGAGTGTCTGTCGTGTACGCCTACTCTGGGTGACGCACGGCGCTAGACCATCACTGAGTGTCAGCTGAATTGGATGTCACCCAGTTCACCTTAGAGAGATTCCTTACTTGATGACCCTGCTGCAAGCATACAATGCGTATTTGCTAATTCTTCTATACTCATTTTTGCCAATTGGAAAATGGAAAGAGCCCTATTCTTGGCAATATGATTATAAAAATAATTATTTCAAGTTATTTCTCCAAAGTAGATAATCTGAAAAATTTAAAGCCCCCTAAAGTGCTTTTTTCTATAGGAGCACATGAGTGCTCTACCAGTTTGAGAATGGCAACCCGAAGTTCAGGGTCAGCTGAAGACAACATTCACTGAGATTAGGGTCTGGAGTCTCCCCCTCCGGCACCTGGGCTGGCTGAGAGCTCTTGGCCATTATTTATATTTAGTCTGTCAGTAACTCGAAGTGGACACAAGGGAGGGCAAGGTGAAGCAGAAGACAACCGTCAGAGACGCCTCCTGTATACTGGGGAAAGCCAGTCCCCCAGGGAGGCAGTGGGGGCAGGAGGCGCGATCATCCGCAGCCAGGCTGGGAAGGATGAGGCCATTCGGGGTCACTGTCCTCTTCCGCATCCTCCACATTTCCCACCACAGTTCCTGTCACTGACTCCCCCAAATATCACAGAGGCCTGCCTTTCCTCCCCAAGTGCTAAGTGCTCTCTTCCCCGGGCTCTTTGTTGTTCAGGTCAGGCCCTCTCTGCTGTCTGAGGCCGTGCTCAAGAGCCCTGGTGTTTATTAAAGGAAGACCAGGAAAGGCAGCCGAGGGGGGCGACGGCTCCACTTCCACCTTGAGATCCTCAGCGCTGCCTGCCCTTTGATCCTGGCCTCGCTTTGATTCCATCCCTTCTCGCTGCCCAGGCCCCTTGAGTTTCTCAAGTTCATTTCGGAACCGTGGTTCCAGGAGACTGAAAGACAACACCCCCTCAAAAGGTATTAATGTGCCAGGAAAGCGACAATATGTTAGGAAGTCTTTTTTTGTTGTTGAGTCAGCACCGTATAAATGCAAATAACAAACACAAAATAGATTGTGAACCCGACGTGTTTTTAAAAATAACAATTCCTCTTCTTCCTCCGACCATTTCTACCAAAAGCCTCTCCCCACACAGGGGGATCTTTCACAAGCCCAATTCGCACAGCTAACCAATCAAGGTAAAAAACATTTCGACCTCAGAGAGAGGAAACTGTAGATTTTCCAAGCTTACGTCCGCATACTTGAAATGAAGAACTGAAACCATTAGCAGAATGTTCAGTCCTCAAACCTGACAGTCATCAAACGTTTCTTTCTGCAACAATGTACCTATTGAGCACTTGAAATGGGGCTACTGTGACTGAGACAGCTGCACATGTTAAAATTTCATTTTAATTTATTTGACTATAAATAGCCACGTGCAGCTGGTGGCTCCCACCAGCACAGCTCTATGCCATCGTCCTTCTTTGATAACTTTTTGTGTGCAGTACAGAGAGGTATCTGGTTGGTACAAAATTATACACTAAACTTGAATTCTAGACTCTCACTTTTACTGTTTGAACACAACTCTGGATCATTCAAGCGGTCACCTCATTTTATACCAGACAGTCTCATATGGATTTTGCTGAACGATGTATTAAATATTATTGTAGTTTTCATAAATGGTCTCTCTTCAAAACTGACAGTTTGGGGTCACTTGCTGGTTAAACGTTTATGATACTGTAAGTTTCTTTAACACTGTCATTTGACTTAAAACTCCTTTAGTTTTGATCACTTGTTCTCTTCTGACTATGTAACGAAAGTCTGCTGCTGAAGTTCTCTGAGTCCCTGTGGGACATGACATGGTATTGAATTAGTGCATATCCCATATCAGTGTGAAGTCATATTGGACAAGGACAAGGAAAGAGGGAGGCATCAGGAGAACACAGAACCTGCCAATATCTCTCTCTTCTCTGCTCCCAAATAATTTATTAAAGTATTCTCAGGCACCCGAGTAACCTAAGATCAATTCTGGATTTGTGTCCCGGCCTGCATGTATTGGGCATATATTTCCAAAATACTGTCTTTTACGGGATAGCCTGTAACAGCTGGGAGACATCTGTGCAGGTAAAATACCACCCCCAGTTTGTCTAATCAAACACAGATTCTTGGTGGATCTAGGATATAATAAGACACTTTTAAATAGATTCCAATCCATTTTAGATTAGATCCTGCTCTAGAAAAGGGTGGTTTTAAATAAACAGTTCCACTCTCTCAGGCATTTCGCCTTCGTAGTAACCCGAACTTTCTGTACTTGTTTAGATGAAAGAGAAGACAACTTCGGCCTCTTCTTCTTTTAGATTGAACTCACGTGCTCTGAGTGCCAACTCCGTGCCAGGCCCTGTGCTGCAGGACGTAAGAATTCCTCCCGCTCAGCGGCCTGGCTGCTTGGGGGATGTGGCTGCCCCACACTGATGAGGCCCGGCCAGCTCAGCTGCCTCAGCCCCCTTGGTCGTCTCCCTTAGACCCAGACTCAGCCCACGTCCATGTATCGCCCAAAATATGCTTGCACTTTGGGTTTATCTCAGTACAGACGGTGCCAGAGAGAGCCCTGTTTTTAATTTGGTTGCTTATGTGGGGATTATTTAAAGTCATTAGCCCTCAGACTTGTTCTCTACATACCACTTCTCACCAAAAAGGAAAAAATGCAACTTTAAGAAATGGCTCATTCTAGGCCTGGGACTAGCCAGGAATATACAAGCCTGGAATATTTAGTCATATCTAGAAACAAGAAAACTGTAACAAGTTACTGAGGTAGCAAACATTCTCAAGAAATAATTTGAAGAGGCTCCACCAGCCAAACATCGGATAATGCGAGCATCAGTAAGAATAATAATAGCAATAGATTGAAACACATTAAAATTCATTATTTCATAATGATCATGAAAAAAATGGGTCACCTCTGGAAGGTTCTAGGGAACAGACCCTTTATTCTGAAAACTGGTGGGCAAAGAGAAGAAAACGTTTATCCTGCCAGACAAACTGTTGATGAAGAGAAGCTTCTCCTTGTAGAAGTATTACTATCCTGCTGGCAAATGAAGACCGATGCTAGAATTAGAATGGCCCCATTTTGCAACCTGTAATGAAATAAGGGGCCTAAACAACGATCTTCATGGCTACTAACATCTGCTTCCTTGTAGAGATACACACCACTGCCTGTGAATCATTCCTGCCAAAATATAGAACCAGAATCCAATCCAGCCATTAGAGCTCACTGGTAGTTCAAAAGCAGCACAGAGAACAGGAACACGTCCCGTGCCACCACAGGGACACAATCAACAAAACCCAGACTGTGGGATATTCTACAGGACAAACAGCCAGCTGCTTTGTCAAATAATCAAATAAACTGCAAAAGAGACAGAGAGAGAAGGAGAGAGAACTAACCTATAGAGACCTAAAAGACATATCGACCAAATGCAGTGTTTGGATCCTGATTCAAACAAACCATTTTTAAATGCATTTCTAGGGCGAGCTGGCACATTTAAACATTGGATATGATATGGTATTAGGGAATTGTAGTTATTAATAATATATATTTTTAGTTTACATAGTGATTTTATGGTCATATTTTCTTTTAAAGGGCTCCTGTCTGTTAGCGATATGTGCGGAAATATTGGCAGATGAAAGAAGAATAATAATTGGCTTCAAAATCACCTAGTTTGGGGGTGAGGGGCAGAGGGGGCGAGATAGCGAAGAAACGACTGTGAAGTGAAATGGTAACAGTTGAAGCTGGGGCGTGAAGATTCCCTGCACTAGTCTCTCTACTTCGGTGGGTTTGAGATTTTCCAGTATAAAAAGTTTTTTAAAAATAGGCAAGATCTTTGAAAGAAGTGGGAGCTATTGAGCATAAGAACAGAAACACCATCTGGGGAAGGCAAGGTCTGTGTGTGTGTGTGTGGTGCTGGCTTTGTGAACCGGAAGGAGGGGACAGCAGCCCCGGTCCCTCCCTGTGGAGCTGGGGGCTGCGGGAGGACAGTGCGGAAGACAAGCTTCATTTTTCCTCATTTTTCCTCTGGGGAATGTGCGACAAGCCAGCCTGCACAAGTCACA